AACTGCATTAAATTAAATAAAAAAATAAAAAAAATTATAATAAATGTAATTAAATTAAATAAAAAAGTAAATAATATTAAATTTAATTTAATTAAAAAATTAATTATAATAAATTAAATTAAATAAAAAAGTAAATTAAATTAAATTAAATTAAATTAAATTAAATTAAATTCTGACTTAAAAATTTGAAAACAAAACTGTGTCAGATAAATCAGAGAAAACATATCGAATATTGCTGTGGACAATGAGGTCTAGACTGAATCTAGACTGAGTTCAGGTCCACCTGCTACTAACCTGCATAACATGGTTGTTTTATTTTAGAGCCATTCATAGCTTGTATAGTTCAAACCCTCATTTAGGCACAATGATTGTGTGTTACGTGACGCATCAGGACACATTCGTGTTCACATGCTTGTTTCTGAGCCTCATTTACTGCGTCTGAACTCACCTGTGCAGTTCCTTTCATCAAAGTCCAGAGCGAAGCCGCTGTCGCACCTGCAGCGGAAGCTACCGATGGTGTTCCTGCAGCGGCCGTTTGTGCACAAGCTGTGGATCATCTTACACTCGTTTATATCTGCAGAGAGACAGAATGATGATGAGTCGGGGTAAATGAATGAATGTATAAGCGTCTGAATGAACGTGGCCCTTCTGTCTCACGCACCTTTCAGGAAGGGCTTGCCGTTGATGAAGTCTCCACGGTGGGAGAATCCGGGCCGAGGGCAGAGCTGCACGTATTCCGGCGTTCCTTTCTCCGGGCACTCGTCGCACTCCGGGCCCCAGGCCACACCCACGCACCAGCAGCAGGCGTCCACACGGTGCCGGCCCGGGATCGGAGCGCCGCAGCGCTCGTCGATGTGTGTGAGGTAACACAGCTCCGTGCGCAGGTCTGCAAACACACACATTCACAAAACACAGTCAGGAAACTTTGGGAATTTGCATGGCAAACCGACCTTCGCAAAAACTGTCCTATGGATTCATAAACGCTTCATAAACCTCTGATTTAATAGTTATGTTAATGAATTTCTGTCATTTGTAAATAGGACGTGTGTGCACGCTCATTCACAATTAACATAATCCCGCCCACGAATTGGAATCCAGTAATTTGCATGAATGCAAAAGAGTCTAATCGGCCAAATTGATTCAATTAAAGTGTATTTTAGAATAAACAGGAAAACGGATCCATGGCTGTTTTCTATTCTATTTCTATTTTGTTTAGCAATTAAATTTATTTTTACATTTAACTAACTAGTTAACAGATTAATGTTATTATTATATATTACGTACTATAGTAAACAGTGTTATCAAATGCAGTGTCGAATAAAAGAACACAAATGTATAATTTGTAAATATATATAATATAATTTGTTGTCAATATTTTGAATTAGATTTTATTTTAATATTTAATATTTTCACTTTAATCTTAAAATTTTAATAAATTAGTTGTGTGTTTTTGTCATTTTTAAATATCTTTATAGTTTTTTATTTTCATTTATTAGTCTTAATTATTTTAGTACTTAAACTGAATGAAAATGAGAAATGTTGCCTTGATGCAACTAGCTGAAATAAAAAGTTTAATTTTTATATTATTTGTAAATTATTTGTTAACCCAACTCTTTTAGAGAACTACAGACCGGTTTCCCTTCTACCTTTCATTGCAAAAACACTTGAACGAGTTGTTTTCAACCAAGTCTCAGCCTCTCTCACACAGAACAACCTCCTGGACAGCAACCAATCTGGCTTCAGAAGTGGACATTCGACCGAGACTGCCTTGCTCTCAGCTGTTGAAGCCCTAAGACTGGCAAGAGCGGCTTCCAAATCTTCTATACTTATCTTGCTGGATCTGTCCGCTGCTTTTGACATGGTTAACCACCAGATCCTCCTGTCAACCCTATTGGCAAAGGGCATCTCAGGAAACACACTCCAGTGGTTTAAGTCTTGTCTCTCAGATAGGTCCTTCAAGGTATCTTGGAGAGGTGAGGTGTCCAAGTCGCAACATCTAGCTACTGGGGTGCCTCAGGGCTCAGTACTTGGACCACTTCTCTTCTCTGTCTACATGGCATCACTAGGTTCTGTCATTCAGAAACATGGCTCTTCATATCACTGCTATGCTGATGACACTCAACTCTACCTCTCATTCCATCCTGATGATCCGACGATAGCTGCTCGCATCTCAGCTTGTCTAACAGACATTTCTTGCTGGATGACAGACCATCACCTTCAACTCAACCTGGCTAAGACAGAACTGCTTGTGGTTCCAGCAAACCCATTGTTTCATCACAATTTCACCATCCAGTTAGACAGATCAACCATAACTCCTTCAAAAACAGCTAGAAACCTTGGAGTTGTGATTGATGATAAGCTGACTTTCTCAGACCACATTGCTAAAA